TTAATTTTCCAACCAATCAAATCTCGCACAATTGGTTTTTATTTTTATTTCTTTTAATCGCTGAATGTTGTTAATTCCTTATTCCCTTTTTCTCTCCATGTGGAGAACATACTTGTACTTTTACTCTTCACTACTACATATTTTAAGTACGAGAAACTCACATCATACAGTTTTCCATTGCTTCTTAGAGCTTTTAACTAAAGAGGTTGTATATATGTGCAATGTTACACTTCCAGTTTTCTGCATTGATTCTCAGATAAACCAACCAAATATTATATCGAACTGCTTCTTGAAAAGAAGGCTGCCATTTTCGATTTGATATATGCTCACCGCTCACTGTTTTTAGCATCTTGGGGCTGTTTGTAGATTAAGCTCTCCACTCCCTGTTTTAAAAACCGATCTAAAATACTTCATTTCTTTCATTTAGGTTCTGCATTTTTACAATTTGTGTTTTGGTTGAGGTCCCTCAAGTTGTTGACAATTAGCGCTCAACTCATCTTCTTATAGCTTGGAAATTAATTACTTTGTGTGAATAGGAACATTTATTTTAGAAGCAAGAATAAATGTTTATATTCACTCAAATGTTTATATTAGAAGCAAGAATAAATGTTTATATTCACTCAAATGTTTATATTAGAAGCAAGAATAAATGTTTATATTCACTCATCAACTCAAATGTTTATATGAACTATAGTTTATATTCACCAGAAAGGCACCAGGGGAAACTATATTCAAGTATATGAGTATATCCATTGAATCTGCTATAGTTTATAAGAATGAGAGTCTTCATATGCAATGGTCATGTTTTCTAAAGAATGAGAATCTGCTATTGTTTATAAAACTGAGAATTTGCTATTGTTCCCCCTGGTGCCAGGGGAAACTATATTCAAGTATATCCATTAAATTCTTGCATCCCACTCTTGAGTTTTTTCATTTTTGAAATATTAGCTTTGGATTTTTAGTGTAATTAGTAATCGGTTTAAAAGAACAGGTATGAAATGTATCAGTATGGGACTCGAAAGATGAAAAACTATCAATTTAGGACCTAACATTTCATAGGTTTTGATTTATTTAATTTTTTATTAATTCCATTGCTAATATTTGGTGAAATATTCTGCACAAAAGTTTATTAGTTTAATAAAACTAAATATTATTTAAATTTTTTAAAATAAAAATAATAATAAAATATATGAAAACTTAGGTCCTAAATTGATACTTTTCAATCATTCGGGTCCTAGATTGATAGTTTTTCATCATTCGGGTCCTATACCGATACATTTCATCTTTCAGGTCCCAAATTGACAATTCGTCTATCTTTCAGGTCCCGGATTGATAAAATTCCTTGGAAACTGACTTTAATTTAGTAATATTAAGGGGAAAACCCCTTAATCTAGCTAGGACCGACTGTTTATGGACATAAGAAAGGAGAAGGAAATCAAAGATTGCCGATGACGAGGGTGGTGACCACGAAGTTGAAGGTGACGACGATTCAAGTGCAGACAACGATGGCGATATAGGTGGAGATGACAGTGGCGACGATACATGTGGAGATGGCGGCGTCCATACAGATGGAGATGGAGACAGCAATAGTGATGCGAGAGACGAAGACGGAAGAGCTGATCGAATAATGAAGAGAAAAGAGATGTCGGTCGCAGAAGGGTTAGGTCACTTTATAGTAATCTCTAAAATAGTCATATTTTTGTCCTTTCAAACCTTGTGGGTAATATTTTTGCCATTCTTTCTTTATTTAAAGTATGACTGATTATTGTATATATATAAACTACCTGAATTTCAATAAGTAATAGTGAGATGCTAAAATTTAGTTACCCAGTAAAACTAAAATTCCTCATTCTTGATGATAATTATTTATTAGTATGAAAGTTAGTGACCCAATTTTACTAAAATTGCTCTTTAATGATCAATTTATGTTAATCACTTTTTGTGATTTATTGGATTAAAGTCATAAATCCAAGGAATTATATATACTTTTCAAATAAAACTATTACATATACTTTTCAAATAATCTTAAAATAATCCGGATTCATATTTTGATCCCAGATTATTGTAGCAAATAATTCTATTAAATAATCTATGTCACTCATTGATAATTCTCTAAAAAATCTGCCATGTCACTAATTTAATCTCGTAATAATCCTCCCAATGAGGATGCCCTAACAAGATCATATATTTGGAAAAAATGATGTCACTGTAAAAATTTTATGTCGCTGCGATTTTTTCATGTCACTAACAGATATGACTATCAATTTTTCATGTCACTTACGAATGTCACTGCCGCCGTCTCATTGTGAAACATGTCACTCGGATCATCAGAAAATATTCCGATGACTTTTTCCGGCAACTTTTCAAATGACACCACGACGGTACCCCTCCTCAACCCCAACCACGTGCACCTAAGATTGACATTTAGACATATCTCCCACCCCCGGGCCAACCTGCCGCCTCAATCACACAAACTCCGGCCGCCACCGTCGCCAAAAAAGCATACCCTACAAAAAAAATTAAGAAAATACTCATGTCCCAAATGAACCGAGAGTACCAATATTTTTTAATCGATAGATCTTTTTAAACTTAAAAATATACTATACTAAACAAAATAATATTCTCATATTGGGCATCAATATTTTCCGGCCACATTTTGTCTCAAGTGTAATGCAACTTGTTTGAGTCAAGAAACTGTGGACAAATTTTTCATTTTTTGCTACAGAAGACAAAACTTTTGGTTTCTCCCGAGTTACTCTATAGGATAGATAGTATTATGATGACAGTTTACTTAAAATTCTGCAAGTGATTTGGTGAAAAATAATCAATTGTTATGTAGTCAAAGTGTATACAGAAAATGAAGAAATTGTTACATTTCAATTAGGAATGGAAAAATAAATTAGATTTGAAGAAAATGCAGATGTTTTGATTGGAAAAAGCCATTGAAGTATATGGCACAGAAAAATAATTGTAACCTTTTCATCCATGGAAATCATTTCAACATATTTGATTGGTGGATTTTTTGATCCAAACTTGTCATTCCATTTTCTGATGACCATCACCATAATAGCAACACTCGCTGGTAAGTTCGGAATAACATCTTTCAGATGCTTCTTTGTAGGTGACATTTTTCCTATAAATGTAGTGGATGAGACAGATAAAGTGCTTTTACACACAAATCATGTATAAATAGAATTGTTATGTCAACCCCTATCAGAATGTAGGTATGTAGGTCGATCTAACTTCTTTTGGTATTTAATTTTTTTCAAGTAACTTCTATCTATATAATCTAATCTGGAGGATAAGTTTGAATTCTTAACCCTCCAAACCTAAATTGCAGTATTACTTCAAAATCTGAAAGTAATACTTTGTGAAAAGTTTTTTTAATAGCACCAGTTCCGATATTTTAATGATCAAATATGCATATGTGATACTATGCAAAAATTATGCACTTCACATTTAAAGAGACGATTTAAACGATTCTATATGATACCGGAATCAGGGAGGTGATTTATCTTTTCAAATCAAGATGTTCTATAATAATAAATATTAGAATTTAATAGTTTTTTTATTATCCATTAAAATAAATGTCATCATTATTGATGATAGGTCATCATTAATCAGTAACTCATAAATAAATCACAAAAAGTGATTAACATAAATTGATCATTAAAGAGCAATTTTAGTAAAATTGGGTCACTAACATTCATACTAATAAATAATTATCATCAAGAATGAGGAATTTTAGTTTTACTGGGTAACTAAATTTTAGCATCTCGCTATTACTTATTGAAATTCAGGTAGTTTATATATATACAATAATCAGTCATACTTTAAATAAAGAAAGAATGGCAAAAATATTACCCACAATGTTTGAAAGGAAAAGAATATGACTATTTTAGAGATTACTAAAAAGTGACCTAACCCTTCTGCGATCGACATCTCTTTTCTCTTCATTATTCGATCAGCTCTTCCGTCTTCGTCTCTCGCATCACTATTGCTGTCTCCATCTCCATCTGTATGGACGCCGCCATCTCCACATGTATCGTCGCCACTGTCATCTCCACCTATATCGCCATCGCTGTCTGCACTTGAATCGTCGTCACCTTCAACTTCGTGGTCACCGCCCTCGTCATCGGCAATCTTTGATTTCCTTCTCCTTTCTTATGTCCATAAACAGTCGGTCCTAGCTAGATGTGGAGCTCCTATATCATTTTCTTCGCATCAGCTTCTATGGTTTCATATTGGGGGTCGGCGGCGGTGAAAAAATGATTGGGAAGGGTGGGGAAGGGGTCGGGTGGTTCGGGAATCGAGACTAATAAGGGCGGTGCCGGATTGGTGAGGATGGATGTCCATATTGGGGGCAGCGCGACCTGGCTGTGTTGCTAGCAGATTTGGCCGTTTTTTGGGCAGGGGAGGGTGCTGAATCAGGGCTGGACTGGTGGGGGGCTATTGTTGGCTAGGTGAACTGGGGAGGGACAGGGGAGTGGCGGTGGCCGAAAGGTGCGGCGGCAGTGGTCAATTGATATAGCATGATAGCCCGATCATTTATTGGAGGCGGTTACCGCAGAGGCTGGGCGTTGGTGGAGTCACCGATCAGAATCACTATGTCACCGGGCTAACCTCTATGTCACTTTGGTCGGAATGACCGCTCGCGGTGTCACTGAGGCGGTTCACCGGTGGTGGTGTCCCTATAGCGGTTCACCGGTGGTGATGTCCCTATAGCGGTGTCACTGAGCCGGTGTCAATGGTGTCTAAAGTCTTAGAGTTACAATTTGTAGTGACATGAAGAAAACGCGCTAACATAACAAATATACAGTGACATCATGTTTTTTTCAAGAATATGATTTTGTTAATCGCATTTTTGTCAATATTGAAAAGTAGTCACATTTTTTTAAATTGACCTCGATTTAATAATATTTAGAGAAACCCCCAATTTCACACACGCAAATCAATAAGAAAATTTGTTTGATTGGACAGATAGATTAAAATGGAGAGTATATATTTATGGAATCAAAGAGTCAAGAAATATTTGTATGATACTTTACATATCATTTTGGTACGGGATAGAATATGGAAAGTTCCGTTTTATTTTCTTATTTATGGATTATTATTTATTATTATTGTTATAAGTTGATGATAAAACTGCCTAATACTGCTGCTATTCTATACCTCCCTCCATATGTCTTCCTTTGATGAACCGCCGGCCGCCCCCGCCGATCACCAGGACTCTTTCCACTGGCACTACGCTGCGTTCGACGACAACTACCGCATCAGCCGCCAGTCCCTCTTCTTCTTCGTTGCCGTCTTCGCCCTCCTCCTCGTGCTATTCGTCTTCGCCTTATACCTGCGCTGGGTCTGCCGGTTCCGGGCGGAGCGTGATCCCCACGCGCCGCCGCACATGGCGTCGGAGGCTCAACTTGGGCTCCAACCCACCGTGATCGATAGCTATCCCATAGTTCTGCACGCAGTTGGAAGCGGCGGAGACGCCGAGTGTTGCATCTGCCTTTCGGGTTTTCAGGAAGGGGAGAAGGTGAAGGTGTTGCCGGAGTGCCGGCACCGGTTCCACGCCGACTGCGTCGATAAGTGGCTGAGAACTCATTCCAGTTGCCCTCTCTGCCGGGTTTCTCTCCGATTTGACTCAGCCGTATGAATTGTTATCGCAGCAGCCGCTGGCTTCAATGTGCTCTGTTTTTGCTTTGGCTCTGTGCAGGTGGCTGTTTTGTTTTGTCTTAGTTTTGTTTTATTCATCAGTTCATATTTTCATCAGCCATTTTTTTTAATACTACCTCTTTTATAAATACATAATATTATTATGCTCTATGACTATTTTATTTACTACGAGTATTATATAGGAATTTAATTTTGAAAAGTTATAGGTAGTATTAAATTTTTCTCATTTTAAACATTCAAAAAATGTTTTTTATTTTTTTACTATTAGAATGAAATACTCCCTTCGTTCCTAAATAAACTTCCAACTTTCCTTTTTCGTCAGTTCCTATTAAAACTTCCATTTCTCTTTTTTGGTAAAGAATTTGTGATTCACAATATTTCTTACACATTTCTCTCTCCTCTGCACAACTCTCTACCACACAATATTCATTATCTTAAACTTTGTGCCAAATCCATTTGGAAGTTAAGATGGGAACGGAGCCAGTATCACTTTAGTTGTTCCTGTTTCCTTTTTGGCAGGTATCAAATTAATTGTCTCATTTTCATTTTTGAAAAAAAACTCCCAAGAAACAGGTACAATATTGTTATACTCCGTGGTATTGTTATACTTCGTATATAGTACCGTTTCTTTTTTGAGATGTATCAAATTAATTGTTTCATTTCCATTTTTGAAAAATAAACCATCCAAGAAGCAGGTACAATATTGTTATTGTACCGTTACAGGTACCAAAAACTTCTCACTTTTCATAAAGTCTATAGTAACACTATTTAAACTACGTGAAAAGGTAAACGAGACAACTAAAATGGTACGGAGGGAGTATGACTATAATGTTCAAAGTTGAGAATTGACAAATATAAAAATGGAAACATCTTAATTAGAAAAGAAGCTAAGGCCCTGTATTATAATAATACTGTTAGCACAATATATATTAACGAATTGTTTGCTAGGATTATGTTTGTATTTTCCAATGAATTGAACTGGATTATGTTAATATTGTATATTATTCTCTTTGTCCCGTTTCAATTATTGCGGTTAGTATTCTAGTAGGTCTTATGGACTATTTTAATGTCAAATTTTATAATTTTATATGTAACAACTTTTATCATATTTGGATTATGTATATGTGATTTTCTATAATTTCTGAATTGTGCTTATGTCATTTAATAGAATCTATAATGTAGTCTATTAGTATGTAAATTGTAATTATGAAAATTAATCTAAAACTTGTTCGGGATGTCGCAAATTATACCGTGGGATCGGCCCACCGTGAGCACGTTGTGCCAATCCCAAAACGGCATCACTTTATTAATTAAAAACAAGAACAATGTCTTCCAAGAGTATAGAGTATCCAGGGGCGGATCTGACATAGGGCCAGGGAGGGCCTAGGCCCCACCTCAATAAAAAAAAAGAAATTATTAGTATATATATATTATATATGTACTGGGAAGAAATGGTATAATTAGAACAAACGTCCTATTGTAAACAAAAGTTACGTTGGTGTGATGGTAGATGCGTGATTGACAGTGTAGAGGTTATGTGTTTGATTCCTAGCTGGAGCATCATTTTTTTTTGTATTTTCCATCCAAGTCCAGGAACATGCTATCTTACACAAATCAAGTTTGAATTTTAACTTTTGAATACTAGGATGCAAAAATTAAGTAGTCCAACTAATTGGGCTTTATTAGTCTGAAAAACCAATTAGTTCAATTGATTGAGCTTTTTGAATATTGTCCTAAAAATTAATTAGTTTAATTCATTGGGCTTTTGAATATTGACCGAAAAATTAATTAGTTGAATACATTGGATTTCGTAGGTGAAAATAAGTTTTCTTTACATAGAGTATAAATTTTAGAGTAAAAAAATCGGTTTATCTTGTTTCCGAGAAACTAACCTAAAAATTGGCACTAAACATTTGGGTAACCGATAAAACTTCGGTTCGATATCTATGACTTTTAAGATAATCGTATTGTCGGTTCTGTAATATTCAATTTATTCTTTGACATTTCTATAATTTACATTTTGACTTCTAAGATATTATTATACTATACTACATTTTGACATATTTTTATAATATACGTTATTTAATTAAATTTTGGCCCCACCTGAACGTAAATGCTAGATCCGTCCCTGAGAGTATCGATCGATCTTCAGCACCAGCGTTTAGAGTCCACCCACCAATTCACCAATTCACCAATTCTCCGGTCCAGCGGCAGAAGTCATCGCCGATAAGTATCTTCATAGCATCCCCCGCGGAGGGATGGTCGGCCATATGTGTTTGTGCTCTGTGTTTTGAATGTTGTAGACTTGCAGATCTTCAAAATTTGAATGCTATGGTACGGGAAGAGCATTAAACATAGATTTCTCCGTTTTAATAGTTGCCTATTAATGGAATTCAGATTAATATAAATTTCTAGATTCTGTTGATATTGATCGATGGAGCAAATGGTTTATATATATACTTGTATTAATTAATACATGGAGTTACATCTCTGTAAAGGCGTTTTACATTTCAATAAGTTAAAGTTACATTTCTCAGGTTACATCTGATTGGTTTCCAAGTTACATATCAATTATAACAGTTTACATTAGTGACATTTGAATGAGTGCAATTTACATTTGGATTAACCTGAAGTTACATGTTGATCCACACGATTTACATTTCATATAACTCTGGGAGCAGGATGTTCACCATGCACCGCTCTCACGGTATAACAACTCTCGGAATGTAGTTATTAACATGTAAATAGCCTCAATTTTTTCCAAGTAGGTATACTACTTACTCTAATTTTTTAACATATGTTTTAGTATTATTATCTTTATATACTATGGCTCTTCAATTCCAAAATCTTGTTCCCACCATTGCACTCGCAACTAATTTTGCAATTTATAATTTATGATGATTGACTAATGGATAAATGATATTTAACACTAATATATAACATTTAAATTAAATAAGTTATCCTTAATTTGAGTAAGGCTGCAGAGTTTTCCTAAACAGGAATAAAATTGGTTTGTCCCTGAATAGAGAGTATAATTTTTCTGAAATATGAGTAAATAAATGTTATCATATCGAAATCATATTGTTGTTATACTATAACATTAGTATTGTGATGTTGTCATATGAATGTATGCAAATGTCACAATATAAATTATGATAGATAGTTGATTTAAAACAGATGCAATTAATAATTTTCGTATTCTCTGAAATATCACAGATAGCATTTAATTTAAGAAATCACCGCGCTTGTAGTTTTCTTTATCATTATATTTAAAGAGGTTTTTTAAAGAATTGGCATAAAATTTATTTATTAAAATATGATTAAAGTCCAAAGTTACTATGAGTAGCAGTGACATAGTCATTTAAATGTAAACATGGCCATACATAGTTACTAGGACTATATTTACTACTCCGTATTAATTATAGTCACTACACTTTTGTGATGTCACAATATCACATTTTTGTAAATATCATTTATTTGTTTTTATTTTTTGAATGAAAACATCATTTATTTTATTCACTAAAATGTAATTATTTAATATTGGAAATTAAAAAACAACCAGAAGTGTAAAAACTAAATTTGGACTGCATAACAATTTATATGTAACAATTAAAAGAAGAAATAATTACAAAAATAAAGATTGTTTACAAAAATGTGACTAGTGACTAGAGTATTAATGAAATCATAGTAAATTATGTTCATTTTTTAAACCTAAATTACTATAACACTACATTGTACTCCCTCCGTTCTCTAATAGATGAGAGTATAGCCTTTGGCACAAGATTTAAGAAGGAATTAATATGGGTAAAATAAAAGGTGTAGTAGTGGGTTGTGTGTAAAGGTAAAAGTAGGAAAGAGAATGAAAAAGTAGGAAAAAGAATGAGGGTAAATGAATATATTTATTTAAAAAACTTACCAAAAGTGGAAAGAGAGACAACTAATAGAGAACATCCCAAAATGGAAAGAGGGCCAAGTATTAGAGAACGGAGGGAGTAGTATTTTTGTACTTCCTCAGTCCCAGAAAATTCTTCCCACTTTGACTTAGCACGGAGATTAAGAAAATGGAATAAAGTGGAAATGTGTGGTTGTAGTTGTGTAAGAAAAAGGTGAAATGAGTGTGAACCACATAAATTGTCCAAAAATGGTAAGTGAAAAGAATTTTTTTGGAACGACCCAAAAAAGAAAGTGAGAAGAATTTTATGAGACGGAGAGAGTAATATTTTTGAATAATGTAAACTAACATCTACGAGCAGTACGAGACAACCTTTTATTTTTGCAGGCTATATTTGAGTACAACGTGTAAATTAGGTATGGAGGTTGAATTCAAATTTTGGAGTTGTGAAGATTAGCATAGAGTCATATTCGTTGTATGTAATGACTACGTTAGCATATCATGTTTACTTGTTTCAGGTTTCTTAGATTTCTTTTTCCCGTGCAACATAAGTTAAGGGCACTGTTTGCTTTTTAAACGTTTTGACTAAAGCCTGTGGTTTGTGTCAATTATAGAGTGCAATTTTGTTCACCCCTCTAAGATCATTTCTAGTGGTTTGGAATTAGAAATCAAAAGATTAAAAATGGAGAGTTTAGATTCTTATTTGTGTGTAGTGGAAGATTAAAAAGGGAGTAAAAGTGGAAAGGGAAGCGGAGGAGTGTAAAAATGGAGGGAGAGGTCGATAGCAAAAAATAAATGTAAAAGAAAAAAGGGAGATGAGTTGGTTCGTACGAAGGATGTGCAGCCAAACCATGTGTTCGCTGACATCATGGTGACATCATTTTACCCTAAATTGTTTTAAACTTTTGTAACTTTTTATTTTTTCTTCAAATTTTTCAAAATTCATAAAATTTTTCTTCACTCAACAAAACGATGAAATACAAATTTTTAGTTCATGGATTTTTCACAAATAACTGAATACTCCATATTTCATAATCGAACTTTACTTGAACTAAGTTCATTTTTGTTAATTGAAAACATTAAAAAAAATTAATGAAATTTATTTATTTTTACATCGAAATGTGTATTTTTTATTTCACAATTATTTAGGGAAAATATTAAATGGAAAACATTACTTATAATAAATTAATTAATGTTTTACTAAATTGATATGTAAAAAAAATATGTTGAGTGTATTTTATTGACGGTGCACGGATACAGGGAAAAAACTGTATTGACGGAGTCGAAACATTGTTTTCATATGGATGGAGTCCAAATTTAACAATTTGGACTCCCAAACACTGCAAATGGTCTAAGGAGGGTGAACATCACCCCCTGCCCTCGTTTGTTGCCATGTGTCTTTCCATTCCCTCTTTTTCTTTAAATTAATTTAATTTTTTATTAATTGTTAAAATTTTGTAGAAAAAATATACGGAGTATCAGATTTAATAACTTTTTAAGATCTTTCCAATGGTATCAATATTGTACATAAAAAGTTGGACAAAAAAATCATATTTTTATAAATATTCATTTCTATGTGATTTTTTTTTAATTTATTATATGCAATATTGGTACCATACGAAAGATCTTAAAAAATGAAAATTTTGATATTTTTTTTCAAAAATTGGATTAAAAATAAAAAGTTAAAACAATTGCCAAATAAGTAAGAATTGCCTTGCCACATGGCAAGCAATTAGGGTTGGGGTGAACATCAAAATTGAAAGCAATATTTTAGGTGCAAAAAATTCATTAAGTTAAGGAAATTTGTTAGAAATACCAATTTCAAGCAACTATAATCCAAAAAGAGGAGTGTTTTGTAAATTTTCCCACATATAAGAGTGTATTACTCATACCTACAAATCAAAAAACTAGAAAGTAGTAAAATCAGGGATTACAAAATTATCAAAACGTGTTTATCAATGACAAACACATTTATCGCAAAATTATGAAATCAAAAGCGATGACCATAACACTTGCAGTATAAAGAAGACAAAATGCAGTTAATTCATTTATTCCTCACATTTTCTTCTCTTTAGTGATGTTCTTTACATTCTTATTTTCCCAAATTCTAATGCGCCCTTATCAAGCTTTTATGAGACACATACCATAATAACATTCAAACAGTAGTTTCAAAAAGATTTTGATATCAGTTAACATGAATCGATCCATGATATCAAATTAAAAAACAGAAGAAAGATAAGAAGAACAAAAAGATCGATAAAGTAAGATAAAATGCATAAAATAAAAGAGAAGTATAAAATACAAATAACATAAAAACATAAAAAAGATAGAAGATGAAATGATAGAAGAACATAAGAAAGATAAAGATAAAAATAACATAAGAACATAGAAAAATAAATAAAATAAAAAATAAAATAAATTGAGGTAGAACAAAGAGAAAAGAGAGATCAATTGTTCACAAGAATATGTGTCTTCCACTTTGCTATCTACAAATTCATACTTTCATCCAACCCAAAAAGAAAAATATCAGTTCTAGTTGCTCTAATCTTAGTCTATTTGGGTCTTTATCTTCCTCCCTCTTCTCCGCCTCCTCTCACAACCCCACCCCTCAAGTCGTCTAACAGGTAAATCATTCGATCTTCTGCGCACATGATGAAACCACCGCAATCAAGACTCTTGCATCTTATATTTTTTAGATGCTACTTCAACCTTTTGTCTGATTATCTCATTCCTCAATTTGTCTTTTCTAATATGTTCTCATTCTTATCTTGCTTTATTCTCTCTTCCTCTTGAACACAATAAGAAATGAGCTCATTGAGAGACCATTTCTCCTTAATGCAGTTGTAACTGACTTTAAATTGATTAAATTGAAAAGGAAGAGAGATCAAAACTAAATACACAAGCAATTCCTCAGGTAAAACAAGCTTTAATGCACTTAGTTTTGAAGCAATGTGAGACATTTCCAAAATGTACTCCCTTATGTTCCCTTTGCCTTTATACTTCATGGAAACAAGAGTGCTCAAAAGAGTACTAGTTTCCGCCTTTTCGTTTTTAGAAAAATGCTTTTCAAGTTCGGCAAGGAACGATTTGGCATCAGTCTCATCAGACATTGTGCCCCTGAATGATTCTGAAATTGCACGTTTCATGATCATTAGACTCATGCGGTTTGAGCGTTCCCACCTCTCCATCTCCCTCTTTTCATCAATGGTAGATGTGTCCTTAAGAGCGGCGGGTTTCTCAGTCCGAAGTGCAAGGTCTAGATCAATGCAACCGAGAACAATCATAACGTTTTCTTTCCATTCCTTAAAATTCATGCCGTTAAGCACTGAGATGCTATTAATATTAACAGATATTGTAGCAACAGAATTGCTGACTGAACGAGAACAAAAAATAATATAAATGATATGCTCTAGGAACTGAAATTAATTTGATATTTAATTTTAAATTTAAATATTAGCAATCCCATCACAAGATACCTAGCGCAACATCTAATCTTGTTTTTGGACATAAATTAGTCTTGAAAGTGGCACTCTTGGTGTGATAATAAAATTTTGATAATAAAATCATGTCAAATATTAACCCTTTCTTTGGATCGACTTAATATTCACACGAAAAACTTCATAATCTTCACAAATTTTATTAT